CATCTACTGTTTCCCTATTATATCTGGCAATCGAATGACGATGACAAAAAAGAAAACATGATCAGAGGAAATGCATCAAATCTGTAACACTTGATATTCTCCGTTTCGAAATGCATTCCCGTCACAGCAAAAGAAAAAAATGAATCTCGAAATATCTTACCGTGCGTTGTCTCTCCTTCCTGCGAAATTGTACCCTCCTCCCTCCCTCCCTCCCTCCCACCAGAGGAGAGCTCGCGGGCCCTATATTGCAATATTTGTACTTTTCCATGTTGAAACCTCGATATACAATAAATTATATTAACAAACTTTGATCCTCCACTCATTTTGTCCAGATAAATTATTATTTCTATCTCGGAGTTTCTATTTCATTTCTGAATGTGTACTTAAGATTTATCTGACAATTCTCTTTCATTCATGGTAGGAGCAAAGGAATAAACATTGCGTAATATCGTTGCGAATACATTTATTCATGGACCAAAGTACAATCGTGAGATGCGGCCATTCGTTTTACATTATTTCTCTAGAATCCAGGAACTGCTCGAACGAATAACGGAAAATATTTTTAGCAACGCGACACTGCGATGGTGTAGAGTATCCTTGTAGACACAGTTTTCAGTACGAGATCTTAACATGAGGCAATACAAATCTTGTATTGATCAGGTAAGTGTCACCTTTGTATTTATCGATTTGTACAAAATTAATGGTGAAAGACAGAAGCACGATCTTCGGCAGCGAACAATTGTAGTTTCATTTCTTATGAGCGTGTGGCTTTTTAGGAGCAAATTCTAAGCCTCTTATATAAGTCTTTTTAATTTGATATTTCTCTGCAAAGAAGCAAAGGATTCATTAGACTGATAAAATACCAATATTCTTTGTATAAAAAAAATAAGAAACTTTACTTACCAGTTAGTAACTTGTATACATATAGAATTTGATTTCCTTGGACAAGAACGCTGGGAGTTTTCTTTCCTGGTTCATCTGTAATCGTTGCACTTGCTCCAATGTTTTGGCACTCCTTACTAAACTCTTTGGAGTTTATACCGAACGTTTCCAAGTTATTTACTAGTGTAACCTTTCATGTGAAACATACGCGAATTTAGTTTCTCAATTTTTCAATGGTCGACTAACAACACAGACAACTGTAACCAATTTTATACTTTGAATGTCAATTTTAAAAGGATCATTATACCTTCTTGCCGCCGGACCGAACTGTAACCCTCATATCAATGGGTTCCAACTTTCCTGTATGCAGCAGCTTATTCCCTGCTAACGTGACTTCGTGCATGTGCGTCATACGTCCTATAAACTTATTTATTCCGTCCTCCATTGTGACCGTCACCTGATCCGCTTTGGTTCTCATTATACCTGCGAGTTGCGGGTTCAATTTCAATATCCTGCGAGCAGAAGAAGTTAGTCGATCGTGCCACCGAACCGTGAAACGCGAGGGACAAAACATTGCTCACTTTCCGTCTTGTAGGTTCTCCCTTTTCACGTATTCAGTGAAACATTTTCTGATCTCAGCTCTTTTCATTACGTCCCCTTTTCTGCAATCATCGTATGGGAGTAAAATGTACATAATTCGGATCATATAATACAGCATAATGGTATATGATGTAACAGTTGTAGACTTCTGCTCTGCACAGAAAATCATTCTCTCTGGAATTATCGTATCGCGGTAAAAATGGTATCTCCCTAGGCGTGACGCTTTATACTCACTCGTATCCGAACTTCGACAATACTGGTACAACATCCGCGGTTACCCTGTAACACTCTGAGACCACCGCCGTGTTCGATACGGCTGGTTCCAACGGCGTGGGTTCTTCTAAAATGACTAATTCCCTTAACAGTGGATGGTCAAACTGCAACAGATCATTTATTAATTCTTATACCGTGACAGCGAGCCTTATAACGCGATAGTATTACCTTAATTGATAATAAACTTTCAACACCTTTTGTCACAGAAGTATTAATAACACCTTTCGCTTTCATTTCTGCTAAGAAGACAGATAACTTTTTGTACCGCGACTTTTTTATGTCTATATTCTTATCGGGCGGACACGCCGCCATCAGGTGATTTTTAAAGAAATTCGACACCAACATTGGTAAATCGCTAGACTTTAGCGATGTCTTGCATGCTTTCAGAAAGCAATACTCCAACAAAGTATCCATTTCTTGTACCGGATCTATTGTCATCTCTTCAGTTTCTATTTGTATAGATTCTTCTGGCTCTGGTGTTTCTATTTGTGCAGACTCCACTGTTTCATCTATTATATTTTCCTACAAAGATAAATATTAAATATTTCAGAAAATTCTTTCAAGTAATTAATAAGATTATATAAAAAATCACCTTGCAAGAAGATTCATTTACTAGCTCATTCTTATTAGAAACTTCTAAGTTGTTCATCTCATCAATAAGCGAATTATCATTGTTTTCATTAACTGGACTGTTGTCTTTGTCTTCTGTATCTTCTAACTTCTCATCACTCATATTAACATTTGGTGGACCTAAATTTGGCCTTATGGGTGGCTTTCCCAATTGGCAAAGTGTATCGCCCATTACGTGCAAGATTTCTACACATTTTCCATAACCTCCTGACATATACATATCCTCGCTAGATAATGCAGTAAGGCCAACAGCTACAGATGCCTGTGTGCAAAGTAAATATGCTTATACTTCTCTGTAAAACAGTAACAATAATACTGCGTACAAACCTTATTGTCATCTGTATCAACTGAAACAGGTGTACCCTTCTGCAATTTGCCAAAAGAATACAATGTCACTGGTTCTTTGATAACCACCCCAGGCAGCATTAAATCTGCACCACCTGCTAATTTTGAAATCACTGGTTGCCGTGTTGTAAAAATTGTTAACAAGTTTGGATGATGCCATAAAGTATATATAGTTGGCAATAATGGTAAATGTAAAGTATCAACTTGGAAAAACATGGGTATTTTGGCAACGCAGTATACTTTGCACAATTGCCCATTGTGAGCTGTAATCTTCATTACACATATAGCCTCCTTCTTGGGTATTAACAATTGTGTGTCTTCATCTGTCAGTGTTGGATACGCTGATAGAATTTCTTGACATAACTTTTTCCTAATTAAATATAATAGAAAAATGTGAAATACATTTGCACTTCGTTTGATCATTCCATAAATACTCTTTAATGTTTATTTAAATCAGTACCAGACAAATTTGCGTTATTTATGGGATAATTTTACAAGCATATCAACGTTCATATTTGAAGCAACTAACCTTTCTGTACCCTTTAACTGATTGTTCGATTTAACTTTAAAAGGCTTAATAAACATCCTGATTTTAATATTTATTCAGATAGTTAATCAATAACAAACGAATCCTGAACGAAAAGTCAATCTACTGGATTTGCGAAGTACAAATGACACTGGGACCTTACAGGCTGTGCAACCCATTACTTCTTTATTCGCACAACCACCGATGGTGGCACTAGTGGGCTTTATCAAAATGGCACAGACTTAAAGTCCGCGTTTGCTAGGGCAAGTATTATTAGTCAAAGACATCTATTTTAATTTCTGCCTACTTTTACAAAATTATTCAATTCATAATTTTACCAATAAAATATACAAACATGGCTTCCAGGTGAGAAGCCGTAAAGTGCCATTAAATACTTGACCATAGAGACTTCACCATTCTTAGACATTACCGGGAAATTGGGGTTCTATGGGAGTGGGGATAGACGGGGAAAGTATAAATCCACCCATCTAGTGCTACGAAGACTCATTCGCGTTGTGACCATAGAACGAGTAGGTTACTCAACCAACTAGAATTGCACATGTCCGTAAAACAGTTAGATTAACCATCTTAGAGAATTTACGAAATTCATTTTCTTAGATGCTCAAATTATTTAACAAAAATACATATTTTGCACTCTGAAGATTTCCACGGTTATCCACACACCCTCAATTCGAGGGGGTGAACCTCCTACAATGTTAAAGCTTCTCGGTTACAAAATTCTCAAGATAAAACACGGTTCCAGTTTTCTGCAGGTTTCATAACTTTAAAATAACAATTAAAAGCTGTTCCACTTTGAACACCAACGCAAGTGGAACGGGCGAGCTGCACAGCTTGTTTCACATGTTCCCAAACTCCGAAACCTTGGAGTTTCTTTAATTTGAGCACATCGGTAAGTGATCCTGCCAACTTTCAAGGCATTTACGAAACAGTAAAAGGCCCACAGTTTCGAAAATTCAGAGCTTTTTTAGTTTGAGCCACATGGAAACTGAACTTTCGAGCTTTTGAGCACGATTAAAAAGAGAGTGCGAGCTTTTGAGCCAACAGGTGCATTATCAGTACCGAAAATTGCGAAAACAGTGAGCTTTTTAGTTTGAGCCCTCGGGACAGAGATTGCGAGCTTTTGAGCGAAATTAACGGCATAACAATGCTCTTAAACAACCAAACATGAAGCTTTTTTAGTTTGAGCCACACGGCAAATAGAGTTCGACAGCTTTTGAGCCAAAATTAAAGGCGACTCGATTTTCAAATAATACAAAATCGAGAGCTTTTTAGTTTGAGCCACTGAAAAGAAAAGACTTCGAGCTTTTGAGCGATTTTGGAGGACTAGAGTCCCAAAAATCACAAATCAGAGCTTTTTTTAGTTTGAGTCTCGCGCAGGAGTAGCTCATGAGCTTTTGAGCCAAATTTGGGATACCAGAGTGCCAGTAACTACAAGAATGGAGCTTTTTAGTTTGAGCCAGCGAAAGAGAGGTTTGCGTGCTTTTGAGCCAATTTTGAGGGGCTAGAGTTCCCAATCTTACCAAATCGGACCTTTTTTAGTTTGAGCATCATATCGGGGATAGCTGTGAGCTTTTGAGCAAAATTTTTGTGAAACTTGAGTTTCAGAAATTACTAGAACGGAGCTTTTTTAGTTTGAGCCTCGCGCGGAGAGCTGGCGAGCTTTTGAGCCAGTTTTGGGATACTAGATTTCCGAAAATTATCAAATCGTTAGCTTTTTTAGTTTGAGCCTCGCCAAAAGAAGGTTGCGAGCTTTTGAGCCATTTTAAAGATATCACATTAGCTAATTACGTTTCCGATCGAGAGCTTCTTTAGTATGAGCCCCATGACATAGAACGTGCGAGCTTTTGAGCCACTTTTGGAGCATTAAAATGCTATTAAATTCAAATTTTTGGAGCTTTCTTAGTTTGAGCGCGAAGGTGAGAGTGCTTGCGATATTTTGAGCCATTTTTAGTATGTGACATGGGCCCAAATATTCCAAAACTGAGAGCTTCATTGATTTTAGCCCCAAGACAAGAGAGCTAGCGAGCTTTTTCCCCAGTTTTGGGACATTGCATGGGTCCAAATTTCGGAAACTGTGTGCTTTTTCAGTTTGAGCCCTACGGCAATGAATCTGGCGAGATTGTGAGCTTATCTTGCTACCATACAAGGGCCCAATATTCCAGCACTGGGAGCAATTTTAGTTTGACCCTCACGGTAAGAGAGCTTTGTAGGTTTTGAGCCACTTTCGGAACAGTAAAGATCCAAGAAGTCGAAGGAATAACTCTTTCGAGAAACTATTACAACACCCGCAAGAGACCCCCAGAATCGGCGAACTTACACGAGAGAGCCCTCACAACGGCTTTGAGACCCGTCGAATTGGTGTGAGAGACACCTCGAACCCTCGCGAGAGACCCCCCCGAATCAATGTTTG